TGTGAACAGGAAGTGGTTTCTCTGTGAACAGGAAGTAGTTTCTCTGTGAACAGGAAGTAGTTTCTCTGTGAACAGGAAGTAGTTTCTCTGTGAACAGGAAGTGGTTTCTCTGTGAACAGGAAGTAGTTTCTCTGTGAACAGGAAGTAGTTTCTCTGTGAACAGGAAGTAGTTTCTCTGTGAACAGGAAGTGGTTTCTCTGTGAACAGGAAGTAGTTTCTCTGTGAACAGGAAGTAGTTTCTCTGTGAACAGGAAGTAGTTTCTCTGTGAACAGGAAGTGGTTTCTCTGTGAACAGGAAGTAGTTTCTCTGTGAACAGGAAGTAGTTTCTCTGTGAACAGGAAGTAGTTTCTCTGTGAACAGGAAGTGGTTTCTCTGTGAACAGGAAGTAGTTTCTCTGTGAACAGGAAGTAGTTTCTCTGTGAACAGGAAGTAGTTTCTCTGTGAACAGGAAGTAGTTTCTCTGTGAACAGGAAGTAGTTTCTCTGTGAACAGGAAGTGGTTTCTCTGTGAACAGGAAGTGGTTTCTCTGTGAACAGGAAGTGAAGAGATGAACAGGCTGCTGATGACTGAATATTGAACTGCTCACTGGTCAGAAACATTTTGTGGACCAGCAGCTCAGACGTTTGGAGACAGAACCAGAGTCTTATTTTGAAACCTCTTCCTGTTCCTGTGGCTTTAAATGCTGACTCATGTAGGAAGCCTTAAAAGTCTGCAGGATTTATTCATGAGAAATGAACAGTGTCTTCACTGCCAGAGGTTCAGATTTCAATCAGACCTGTGGAGGTGGTCTCTGAGCCCACCTCAGGACTCAGGCTCCGCCCCCACATAGCTCTGCTCATCTGATGGTTTTATTACGTTAAAGCTCCTGTTCTGAGCCCTGAGGAGGATGTTCACCTCCATCACTAACAACCAGAGGCTGGGAGGACAGGTGGGCTGACACTGTCAATACAACAACACAACCAGGAGGCGTTACACAAATCATAAAATACAACAACACATCCAGGAGGTTTTACACAAATCATAAAATACAACAACACATCCATGAGGTTTTACACAAATCATAAAATACAACAACACATCCATGAGGCTTTACACAAATCATAAAATACAACAACACATCCACCAGGAGGCTTTACACAAATCATAAAATACAACAACACATCCACCAGGAGGCTTTACACAAATCATAAAATACAACAACACATCCACCAGGAGGCTTTACACAAATCATAAAATACAACAACACATCCATGAGGAGGCTTTACACAAATCATAAAATACAACAACACATCCACCAGGAGGTTTTACACAAATCATAAAATACAACAACACATCCACCAGGAGGTTTTACAC